GGGGCGATACGCCGGGGGCGGGGCGGGGCGACATTCCGCTGAGCTAAGGGAAAGGGAGCCGCGGAGAGCAGCCGGAACCTCGCGATGATTCACCACTGCTCTCGCAGCCTCCTGATAGGCGGGGCGAGAAGCTCGTTTTCCAAGCGTTTATGCCTATTGGCTGAGAGCGCGGCTTCCTCCAAACTGGCCCCTCCCACGGCCCTACAGGAGTTTCCGCATCCGGGCACGAGGTAGAAGTTTTGACAGCAGCTTTAGGCTTGGTGCTTTCTGGGTTTATTTAATCCCTTCCAACCTCTGCAATCGCCCGCCGCTGACCTGTTGTTTAATTCATCCATTCTTTCAGGCACTTAGGCTCTTATTTAATACAGACATTGAGGGATTGCAGCTGTAACTCCCGACGTTGAGCGCCTGTTGCGTCCTGAAATCTGGACTCCGATAATTCCATTTAACCCTTAGCAGCGATCCCACGGCACAGGGACTGTCAGAACCGGATGCCGGAGGGAGCGAGTAACCAAATCAAGGTTTTTAGCGAATAGGCTCGGTTCGAGATTAAGGGCGCACTGGGCGCTTCAGGAAGATCCTAATTAGGCAGCCCTTCAAAACCCCAGTGTCAAATAAATTCTATAAATGTATATAAATTATGATACTTTGATCACATAAAAGGAAAGAAGACAGTGTTTTCTGTTGTGGAAAAAGATTGCCAAAAGGGATGATAACAATTTAGTTAAATATTACGGCAGTTCCCAGCATGGCGAAGAAGGCCATCAAAACATATGTCAAGATGAAAATGCCTATGTTAGCAGCAAGAGACCTCAGAGGAAAAGAGCTTTGTTTATGGTGATTTTTAAAAGTTCAGGCATTGTTTGAGAACGTTGGAATTTTCTTTTTATAAAGAATTATTTTATTTAACTTTGTTTTTTTTATTTGATCAGAAGAGAAAGCAAGTGACCAGGTCCGGGACTTGAACCATAATCAACCTTGGAGTTCTAGCATCCTTAACCACCATGCTGCTTGCTGACCCCTAAAATTTTATTTTTAAGTGTCTGGTTTGTCACTTTCTTTCTGTCTCTACCACAGGCCCATGATCCCTATAGCAAAAATCTCTCTCTCAAAGAACAAAGGTTGCTATGCTCATTAATCAGCAACTTTATGTCTAAAATTATTTTTTAAATGTTCCTTTCCTGAAGGGACCAGTAGTTGGCATAACAGCTAGGTCGCTGAACTCCCATGTAGTCGACCGCAGTTCGACCCAGTGGCACCCGTGTGCGTGTGCGTGCGTGCTCAAGATCCCAAGAAGAAAATGGAGGAGAAGGGATTGCGGTGTGGCCATCCCCCCTGGGGGGTGATTTCTCGCTTTCTGTCTCTCTGTCTCTCTCTATCTTAATGGTCAATAAACATGCCCTATAGCAAAAACCCCTCCAAAATAAATAAATAAACAAATAAATAAATAAATGTTCCTCTCCTGAAATTACCTTTGGGTTTTGTTTTGTTTTTGCCTTTGGAAAGGTATAAATTTGCTAGGGTCACATTGTCAAGCAACCTTAACTCAGTAATGAACTAGTTTTACATTGGCTCACTTAATTACTTTTAGAGATGTTACAACCTAGGAAGCAGTTACATTAAATTAAAAAAAAAAGTTTCAGAACAAGGTATGAATTATAATAGCATTTATCAGTTATGTAATCTAGTCTTCGCGTGTTACTGAAGGATGTAGCAGTTATAAGAGTTTTGTACGTTGTCATAATAGGAAGGAATATGTGTTACCTTTACTCAGAATTTTTTGTTGTTGTTGGACTCAAAATGAGGAAACCTATCATTCTGGTTAAAGAAAAAAAAGTCCTTAGGGTATTAAGGATCAATCAAAATAAGACTTGCTGCTAATTGCTATTATTAGAAGAGACACACAAAATTTTGGAGAGGTTTCTGTTTGTTTGTTCTGCTATAGGGCGCATGCGCTCGCCAGACAGACAGAGAGAGACAGAAAGAGAGAAATCACCCCCCAGGGGGGATGGTCACACCGCAATCCCTTCTCCTCCAGGGATCTTGGGCATGTACGCACACGCGCCCTGCATGAGTTTTAAGCTACCAGTTCCGGGACTCGAACCGTGGTTGACTACGTGGGAGTCCAGCAACATAGCCATTATGCTAACTGCTGGTTCCCCACACATACAAACTTTTCAAAGTAATCAATGCTTACCTCTTAGTTCTCATTTCTTTCTTAAAAAGAGAGAATATTGTTGTTTCAAGTCATCCACATCAGATCTCTGATCATGAAAAATAAACCATGTTAAAATAATTCTTATGTCCTCCCTAAGTTGTCATAAAAGTTGCCAAGTGATCGTATGTGATACGGTCGTGTCCTGTGACCACGCTTAGTTCTCTTGCTTTGGAGAGGGTCTGTCTGCACATTTGTCTCATTTAAAGAGGAGAAAGTCCTCTGATACAAGCGTGCACTTTTTCCCATCTTTTACCAACATCAACAGGCAGCGATACCACTTTAAGAACATTTCAAGGAAAAGGGCAACCCCATTTTAAAATTCCCACCTCTGGTTCCCAAGGATTGGGTTGCAAACTTCAACAAATTCTCTTCTCCACTTCCTATTGGTGAATGTGCTATCATTCATTCTTCTGCCTGGAGTTTTGCAAAGTACCCGGTTGCTTTAAGGGGTGGGGAAATACTGCTCCAATTTAGGCTGGAATTACCTGCTTTCGACTTTTTCATGCTTTTCGATCTGTACAAAGAATCCCCGAAGTGATCCAGAAAAAACCCAAGGGACAAACCAGGCTCCCAAGAAAATTGTGACTCCCTCGAAAAAGAAACGGAGAACCTCTCAAGCGGACTGGGTAAACTGACAAAGGGTTTTGTGACAGGGCTGGAGATCCGAAAGTGGAAACTTTTCCAGTGTTTGGCTAGTTTTAAAGGAGTATGTGCCAAAGGAAATTCAGAGGGAAGACAGGCACCATCCACCTAGCAGGAAGCGGAGTTTTCAGAGGGCATTGTTCTCTGTAGGGTGAGGTTGGAAAGCCTCGTCTGGAGGTTACCCCTGGCTTTTTGACAGGTAAAGAATTCATATTTTCTACTTTAAGGAGTGATCGATCGTTTGTTATTATTGTCGCTTACATGTGGATTTAGAAAGACATTAATACTGTAATTTTATCATGCAATAAATATTTTTGTTTGTCTATTATCATACTTGGTACAATAAACAGTTAACCTATTAAAAGATATGAGAAGGGCCAGCAGGCGCAATAGTGGTTAAGGCACTGGACTCCCCCATGGGCATCCATGGTTCGAGTCCTGGAGCCAGCGGCTTAAAATTCTCACCTGATGCGTGTACGTACGTGCATGCCCAAAGTCTCAAGAGGAGAATGGAGGAAAAGGGATTGTCGTGTGCTTATCCCCCCTGGGGCATGATTTCTCACTTTCAATCCGTCTGTCTCTCCAGCAAACACGTGCACCCTATAACAAAAATCTCTTTTAAAAATTTTTAAAAATAAGAAAGATAATGAGAAAATCGAAGTTGGCTTTGGACCCAAACTTTGTGTATATTGGTAGATTAAGAAATCCCAGGCCATAGCTGGGAGTGCCCAAGCAAAACATAGTATTGTTATCTGAAACTGAATCTATAGGTATTATATATAAGGATAAATACTTCAAAAAGAGGGATCAGCAGGTGGCATGGTAGTTAGGGCACCGGACTCCCACATGGCCTACTGCGGTTCGAGTCCCAGACCTGGAGTCTTACTTTCCTGCTTTCCCTTTCTCTCTCTCTTTCTCTGGCCAAATTAACAAAAAATAATGAAATTAATTTTTTTTAAGTTTTATTTCTTCATTCACTTATTTTAATCTGACCAGAGAGAGAAGGAGAGTGAGAAAGCAAGCCACCAGGTCCAAGATTTGAACCGTGGTGTTGGCCATGTGGGAGTGTCCAGCACCTTAACCACCATGCCATCTGCTGGTCCTGAAATAAAATAATTTTTAAAAAATTCTTCAAAAAGATATTCAGCATTCGTACGTTTAAAAATGATCATTTATATTAAAACATAAATATGAAATCTCAAGAAAATATTGATAAATAAGAATAATTATTTCTCAAGTGGCCTTTGCTAGTTCATACAAGGAGATATAAAATAATAAAATAGGGGGCTGGCAGGTGGCGTGGTCGTTAAGGGTGCTGCACTCCCACATGGCCGGCTATGGTTCAAGTCCTGGGCCTAGTGACTTGCTTTCTCACTTTCCCCTTCTCTCTCTCTCCTCCTGTCCCTCGCTGGTCAAATTAAAATAAATAAAGTTAAATGAAATAATTTTTTAAAAATAAATAAATAAAATAAAATATAGTTGCTCATATAGGAATATAGGATGCTCACACTCTAGCTCAGGGACACGTGAGACTCAGAAAATTTAAGTTACAACTATGGAGGCCCAGCCTTGGGAGGGCAGTTGGTGACATGCCAGACTACAGTCTGGAAGCCACGTGGTGACAGAGGTTCAATTCCCCCAGCTGGGTCAGCCTGAATACACCTTGGGTGTATGTGTGAATCACAGTCTTTAGAAACTGCAGGACTGAGGAAGAGGGATTGTGGTCAGTTTTTGACTCCAAGTGACCGTCATAGACCAGAGGTCTTCCGAAGCTTCAAACTGGTGTGAACTGAGCTATTGAGGCAGGCTTCGTAATATCAAGACCCAATTTGAGAGGCCAACGGATGGCGTAATGTGGAAGGCCGCATATCAGATCTTGCACATGAACAACTGTTCGTCCATTTTGTTCCCTTCCCCTAACATGGCCGTCTGTTTCTGTAAGCCGGCTTGCTCTTCCCAGGAGAAAATAGCTCAAGCTAGCCAGAGAGAAAACCGTATCCGGGACGACATCCTGTACCTGCTACTGTATTTGCTAACTGGTCCCAAACCCTTTTGTTTAGCCGTGGAACTGCTTGCATGGAAACCCCTCTCCCCTCGGAAATAGTGAACCTGCTTTACTGTATTTCTTTTTTATTTATTTATTTTTTTTTGAGAGAGATTTTTGCTATAGGGTGTGTGTGCTTGCCAGAGAGACAGAAAGTGAGAAGTTAACCCCAAGACGAGATGGCCATGCCACAACCCCTTCTCCTCCATTCTCTTCTAGGGATTTTGGGCACAGACACACACACACGCCTGGCGTTAGTTTTAAGCTGCCGGGTCCAGGGCTCAAACCATGGTTGACAAGGTGGGAGTCTAGTGATGTAATCATTACACCGTCTGCTGGTCCCTACTTAAGTGTTTTGTTTGTGTGTTTGTTTGTTTGTTTTTTGAGAAGTTTTTGCTATAGGGTGTGTGTGCTTGCCAGAAAGACAGAGAGACAGAAAGCGAGAAATCACCCCCCAGGGGGTATGGCCACACCGCAATTCCTTCTCCTCCATTCTCCTCTCGGGATCTTGGGCACGCACGCACACGCGCCCAGCGTGAGTTTAAGCCACCGGGTCCGGGACTCGAACTGTGGTTGACTACATTGGAGTCCAGCGACATAGCCATTACGCCAATTGCTGGTTCCATTTTTTTTTTTTTTTTTTTTTTACTATTTCTACAATGTTTTCCATATTCCTCAGCTCACCTATGGGCAAGGTTGTTTCTTTTTTTCCTTCCTATTTTTTAATTTATTTTTGCCATAGGATGTGTGCGCTCACCAGAAAGAGAGGGAAAAGTGAGAAATCTCCCACCCCAGGAGGGGATGGTCATGCCTCAATCCCTTCTCTTCCGTTCTTTTCTTGGGACCCAGGGCACCCATGCACATGTGCCCAGCATGAGTTTCAAGCTATTGGGTCCGAGACTCCATCTGCCACGGGCCATGTGGGAGTCCAGCACCTTAGCCACTGTGCCACCTACTGCCCCCCCCGCCCTGGCAGAGGTGTGGTTTAACAACTGGCATGCTCCCATACAGTCATAATGACTGTTATTTTCTAAGAGCCTCTGCCCCAGGGCCCCTGTCCCTCCCCCAGACCCCCCTTCATCTCCCTGCAAGCCAGCACCCAAATGCTAACACCCAGAACAGCAGGGGACCTTCAGAACCCAGCTCCAATGGAGTTGCCACCTACAGACCTTGGTCGGGGGCCCTCTGCTACTCCAGGTACTAAATGTCTTGAACATCACCTCTTAGAAGCAGAAGACTGAGGCTCCACTTCGGACCCCTTCTTCCCCCCCCCCATCCTCACCTGGGGCTGACCATGTGGCTCAGCATTCCACTGGGCAGGTCTGGCAGAAGGAACAGCATCAGTTGATTGGGGAAGTCTGACTGGCAGTTGTGGGTCCCCATTGAGAGGTGTAGGGACCAGGACCCCAGGCTGGCAGGGGGGTGGGGTGGGGGGTGGGCACAGGGCTGATTTCTAATGAAATTTTAAGCCCTAGACATGGCTGTTACAAAGAAAAGAAAAACAGCTGATGATAAGCATGTGGCTCAGAGTAAGTGAGCTGGTGGATTTTGTTTTTACTATAGGGCATGTGTGCTTGCCAGAAAGACAGAGAGAGAGAGAAAAAGGGAAAGTGAGAAATCACCCCCCTAGGGGGGATGGCCACGCTGCAATCCTTTCTCTGCCATTCTCCTCTCGGGATCTTGGGCACGCACGCACACACGCACCCAGCATGATTTTCAAATTTCTGGGTCTAGGACTTGAACCATAGTCAGCCATGTAGGAATCCAGAGGCTTAACCACGACACCACCTACTGGTCCGCCAGTTTCAATTTCTTTTCTTTTCTTTTTTAAATAATTATTTTATTTAACTTAATGTATTTATTTACTTATTTTATTTTGACCAGAGAGGGCCAAAGTGAGAGGGAGAGGGAAAGTGAGAAAGTAAGCCACCAAGTCCAGGACTCGAACCGTGGTCGACCATGTGGGAGTCAGTCCAGCACCCTTAGCCACCACGCTACCTGCTGGTCCCTCCCCCAGCTTCAATTTCTAGAGAAAAAAAAAAAAAGTGTTTTTTTGTTTGTTTTTATTTTTATTTTATTTTTGGAGAGGTTTTTGCTATAGGGCGCGTGTGCTCGCCAGACAGACAGAGAGAGACAGAGAGACAGAGAGTGAGAAATCACGCCCCAGAGGGGATGGTCACGCTGCAATCCCTTCTCCTCCATTCTCCTCTAGGGATCTTGGGCACACACGCACACGCGCCTGGCGTGAGTTTAAGCCACCAGGTCCGGGACTTGAACCGCAGTCGACTACATGGGAGTCCAGCGACATAGCCATTATGCTAACTGCTGGTCCCAGTTTTTATTTTTGAAAGTAACTATGGTAGTGGTCAGTTAACAGCTCTTTCTCTCCTTTAAAAACTAGAGGACAATGTCTGTAAAAGCATGCAGGAATCGCAGGAAGCACACGTGTCCGGCCACCTAGAGGAGATCGTGGCTGCGGTCAGTGTCACTCCCAGGAGGAAGCCCCAGAGCAGGCTGCCCCAGACAGCACTGTTCCAGCCACCACGGGAGAAGCTGCACCTCTGCGAGGAGAAGGCCACACGCTACGCCAGCAGCCACGAGGTGAGCAGCCCTCGTCCTACACCCGTACCCTGGAGCCCGAGCCCTCACGTAGGATCAAGAGAAGGAAGGTAGAGTCAGCCAGTGGCATGGTGGGGTAGGCCGCTGGATCCCTCATGGCCAACCGCACAGTTCAATTCCCAGGCCCAGTGGCTTGATGAACATGCCGGGTGTAAGTGCAGGTGTACCCAGAGTCCTGCGAGAATGGAGAAGAAGAACCGTGGCGTGCCCATCCCTGCCCCTGCACAGAGCAATGCTTTCTCGCTTTCCCTCTCTCTGTCTGTCTGTCCGTCTCTGGCAACCACACAGGCCTTATAGCCAATGACAAAGAAAAACAGAAAAATGTAGAGTAGTTCACAAGTGCATGCCTACTCTCAGGAGTTTGATGCAAGAGAGTGTATAATAAAGTGCCTTCGTTTTATTTTAAAGAATTATTTACTGGGGGCTGGCAGGTGGCATGGCGATTAAGGCAACTGGACTCCCACATGGCTGACCGCGGTTTGAGTCCCGGACCTGGCAGCTTGTTTTCCCACTTTTCCTTCTCTCTCTTTGGTCAGCTTCAGAAAAATAAAACCGAACCATGACAACGAATAAAATAAAATATTTTTTAAAAAAGAATTTTATTTATTTATTTATTTATTTATTTATTTTATTTCTGTTTGGAGAGGATTTTGCTATAGGTCACCCCCCAGGGGGGATGGCCGCGCCACAATCCCTTCTCCTCCATTCTCCTCTCGGGATCTTGGGCACGCACGCACATGCGCCCGGCGTGAGATTTAAGCTGCCAGGTCTGGGATTCGAACTGCGGTCAACTACGTGGGCATCCAGCAATGCAACCATCTGCTGGTCCCGACTATCACGTTTTAAGATGAGCCCTTGTTTCCCTCCCTAACAGTATAAACAGGCCGTCCACGAGCTCACGCGGTGCGTGGCACTGACGAGGATTTGCTATGGGGACTCGCACTGGAAGCTCGCAGAGGCTCACATCAACCTGGCTCAAGGGTACCTCCAGCTGAAAGGTGAGGCCGTCACAGACAGAACGCCCGGTCGGTGGGTGTCTGCGTTCTCTCCAAATTCAACTCCCCCTTAACCAAGAGGAGGAGGTTTGGGCTATTCTCCTTTCCAGATATTGAGAAGCATTCTCCTTTTCGAATCAAGAAGATATGTATATATAGTCGAAGGACAAAAAGGCAAGGAAGGTTATAACCCTTTTGGTTTCATTTTGGATGATCTTGAAAGTAGGGTTCTGGGCTGGCCGGTGGCATGGAGGTTAAGGCACTGGACTCCCACATGGTTAACCATGGTTCAGGTCCCGAACCTAGCAGCTTGAAAAATCACACTAGGTGCATATGTATACATGCCCAAAATCCAGAGAGGAAAATGGAGAAGGGATTACAGTGTAGTCACCCTACCGGGGTGGGGAGGTAAGTTCTCACTTTCTCTTTCATTGTCTCCCTCTGTCTCTCTCCAGTGAGTGCACGCACTGATAGTGAAATTCTTAAAAAAAAAAAAAAAAAAAGATTGTAAATAGTTACGGGACCAACAGTTGGCATAATGACTATGTCATTGGACTCCCATGTAGTCAACTGCAGTTCGAGTCCTGGACCCAGTGGCTTAAACTCACGCCGGGCGCGTGTGCGTTCGTGCCCAAGATCCCGAGAGGAGAATGGAGGAGAAGGGATTGCGGTGTGGCCATCCCCTCTGGGGGGTGATTTCTCACTTTCTGTCTCTCTGTCTCTCTCTGCCTGTCTGGCAAGCGCACGCGCCCTATAGCAAACACCTCTCAAAAAAAAATTAAAAAAAAAAACAAAACAACCAGATGTAAATAGTTCATTCTGACAGTCTACTTAATTTTTAATGAAAAGTGACATTGATGAGGATAACCTCCCAGGTTGGACCAGTGAATAAATAAAACAATAAACACAGAAAAGCATAGAACTGTCACCCAACAAAGCCTGCCCAATCCAATGATAGACGAAAATTCCAGCCGGATCCGATTATAGACAGACCCTACCTGTTAGGTCAAAGACTTAGGGCCGTGACCTCGGGGGATCACCTAGTTTAATACCCACCCTCTTCCCCCTGGTCTCTAGATGCCTAAGAAGTGAGCCCGAGCTGAAACAGCTTAAGCCCGGATCACACTGTGGCTAAGTAGCTGCTCTGAGACTAAGCGCTAGGATTTCAGGGGCCCGTCCCCAGTGTCCCACCATGGGGGATGTTCTCTGGCAGCACTGTCTCTCTGTAGGAGAGTCCGCCTTTCTCTGCTTAACTGAAAAGCAATACCAGCTCTATGCTCAGGTCTTACGGAGTGCCAGGCACTGTACTATTTTCAAACATGCCTAATCTTCCCCAGTCTTCCTCGCTGTCCTGGGAGGTAGGTGTTACTGCTATCCCTATTTAAAACAGAAGAAGCTGTCGCTGGACTCCCACGTGGTCAACCATGGTTCGAGTCCCAGACCCGGTGGCTTAAACTCACGCCGGGCGCGTGTGCGTGCGTGCCCAAGATCCCGAGAGGAGAATGGAGGAGAAGGGATTGCGGTGTGGCCATCCCCTCTGGGGGGTGATTTCTTGCTTTCTGTCTCTCTGTCTCTCTCTCTCTGTCTTTCTGCAGTGAGTACACACCCCCATAGCCAAAATATCTCTCAAAAAAAAAAAAAAAATAGAGGAAGCTCAATTTTCATAGTAAGGGTGAACAGAGGGTTCCTTTTGGGAAGATTGACTGGAGAGCCAATATTCTTCTTTTTTATTTTTTCTTTAAGTTCCCAGAGCACGTGTACACTTGCCAGAGAGAGACAGAGACATGAGAGAGAAGGGAGAGGAAGAGGACAGCCTCCTGTGGGGCAGTGAGCCGTGACATTGCCACGATTCCTTCTCCTCCATTTCTTCCCCCTGCGGGGAGTGTGTACACACCCGTACTCGGGTCTGACATGTTTTACAAGCCGCCAGAGCCGGGATTCAAACTGTAGTTGGCCCTGTGGGATCCGGCTCACCTAACCACTAAGCTACATGGCTGGCCCAGAGCCAGTGTTCCTTTTATTTTATTATTATTTTTTTTTTAAGAATGATTTTATTGGGACATAATGGCTATGTCGCTGGACTCCCATGTAGTTGACTGTGGTTCATGTCCCGGACCCGGCGGCTTAAACTCATGGCGGGCGCATGTGCGTGCGTGCCCAAGATCCCGAGAGGAGAATGGAGGAGAAGGGATTGTGATGTGGCCACCCCCCCCCAGGGGGTGATTTCTCACTTTCTGTCTGTCTGTCTGGCGTGCGCATGTGCCCTATAGCAAAAACCTCTCCCCCCCCAAAAAAAAAAAAAAAGGGATGATATTATTACAAC